TAAACAACAGATCTAAAAAATATAACATAAGTTGCTCTTGGGGGGTGAGGGGGGGAGGGGGTATCAGGTATTACAAATCCTGGACCTCACTTTTTCAGAACAAGCCCTGGCTCCACAAGGTCACCACAATGGGTCTGAATGTGGTGACATGATTTTCCCCACAGCTGGTTACATTTTTAACAACAACAAAAACAGGTGTGTTTCCAACACCAAGTGCTTAATAAACATGATTTAATTTAAAGGTAACTGGACAGAATTTGTCTCCTTGTTAATCTAACATTTATCTTTCATGCATTTTATTCATTGTTGGTTTTCAGGGCCCTGTGATGGACTGGTGACCTGTCCAGGGTGAGCCCTGCCTCTCATCCAATGGCTGCTGGAGATGGGCACCACCAGCCCCCCTCACCACCCTGCAGGGATCAGCCTGTTCAGATCATGGATGGAAAGATTTTAAGGTAGTTTGTCTCCTTGAGTCCGCACTTAAAACAGCTTCATAGTAATTGCCAACATCACCTGATTCTATTATATTGAGCTCCACAACCACTGGTTGACTTTAAAAGATGCTTAAAGACTTTTCTGTTTAAGCTAGCCTATTCTGCCTCCACATGATTTTTATGATGCTGATTTCATCTATGATTTTAGTTGCACTGTGTAGCACTTTGAGATTTTTGCTGATGAAAAGTGCGGTACAAATTAAATTTATTATTATTACTATTGAAGAAGAGACTCAGAAATGTTTTTATTAGGTTTATAAACTCTGAAAATATCACAAGGACACAAACGTTTGTCCTTTGTGGAAGGGGAGAAGCGTGTCAGACATATCTGCTTAGACCAACTCTGAGGTTTCTCTCCCTCAATATTTATTCTCTTCAGAACAGAGGTGATGTCGTCACAGTGAAAATTCAACAACATGAGAAACTACGAACAATGAGTTCCACACATGACAGTCCTTTAAGGCAACATCAGGCAAAACACTGCCATCTACTGTCCATCTATTGCAAGTGCAAGATTTTTTTTTTGTTAAATCCAATATGGCGGACAGACGGAAGCATATCAGACTAACTCGGGGATATCCAGTTCCCTCTCCTAGTGTGGAAAACTCCTGCAGATAAAAAAAAATATTGTGACATCAAGAAACCCCATAGATTTGAACCTTGATTCTTCCTGATGAAGGAGAAACCGACCCAGAGCTCAGTGCCGCCCCCTGCTGTTCACCTTGAGGAGCGACCAGCCTGCTCCTGCACCAACGAATTCAACACTGTGGTAGGATGTTGAGTCATCCTACCATCCTACATCCTATCAACGTTCGTTGATAGGATGAACGTTGATAGGATGAAAGTACACCATTAGTCCTCGACGCAGCTGTTGCCGGTTCGATTCCTGGCTTTGGCGACCTTTGCTGCATGTCTTCCCTGTTCTCTCATTAACCACCTTCCTGTCAACTAACTATCAAATAAAGGCCACTAGAGCCAAAAAATTGAAAAGAAAAGAAATACGACATCTGAGATTAGATGTCAGCAGCTTAAATGAGCCGACATCTAATCTAGTGTAATGTAATTTGAGAACATTTCACGGTTATTGAAGAAAATATTCTGATTTCACATGAAGAATTTGAAATATTTATTCTCTAAATATATTAACAGGTCCTAACATTTGTACATTTGTTGTAAAAAATCAACCCATTTTGGAAAACTTCATAGAAGTTCTTGTATTGTCCAGCAAGTGCCGCTACTTTTTCTATAAGAAGAGAGTCCACCCTTTTTCATTCACATTTAGTGTAAAATAAAAAATAATTTTCTCTGCACCAGATTGTATTATTCTACTCTTATCAATATTTAACAAGAAAAAACACTTAAAAAATTATATGTGAAAAAAAGCTTACAGCATCTGATTGTAGCTGCCCATCAAAGATCATGAAGTCATTTTCCTAACAATTAAGATTTTACGACCGGAGTAAACGGCTCAATCAATCAAGTTTGTTTCTAAAGTACATTTCAACAAGTTTTCTGGACTGAACGGTTGATTATTTTGCATCAAAATTTCTCCTGTTATTTCAGTTAAAAGGTTTAGTTTTTCTCATTTGGTTTATTTTTAAAGAAGCTTAGTTTAATATTACTTCATTAGTTATTTTTGACATCAAATTCTCTTTGAAGTCATATTTTGCTTCTTTATTGTTTGTGTCATGTCAGTACACATATTAAATAAACAGATGTTAAAAACTGCGTGTTGTTCCTGCTTGAGTCTGATGCCGTGATGACCTGGACACCCTAGACAAGTCGTAACAATAGATTTCAATCCAGTCGGCTTGCTATTAGTATATATTCTTATTTGTAGCTCTTTCTCGGCCTTGGTAAAGCGTCTCAACAATATATGTTCTATTTTCATGGACTTCTATCAATGAAAAGGGCAACGAGTCGCTGACTTGCAGCATTCACTCCTCCTGAACTAACGTGGAACGACAGTCGTTGCCTTCACAGCAATGCCTCATGCCAAGCCTGCATGTAGCGACAGTGGAAAGGAAAAACTCCCCTTTAACAGGAAGAAAAGTCCAGCAGAACCAGAACCTGGCTCAGTACAAACGGATACCTGCCACGACTGACTGGGGGCTTCAGAAGACAGAACAGAGACACACAAAAAAAAACCCCAAACAAAACTGATGCAGGATTATTTTTAATATTCATGAAAGCTAAACGTGAATAGCAGCTGGAACAGAACGACTAGCTGAAGAAGAGCCTGATGACTGAAGGATCTGCCTCCCATTCTACTTTTAGAAGCTCTATTATAGAAATAAATGTCACCAAGATTTGAACAAAATGCAACTGAAATTTATTTTATTTTATTCAAATCCTGGTGACACACATTTACTAGCAGTAAGTATCACCAATTTAATTTATTATCCAGTCCAAGTTTAAGAAGAAACAAATAAAGGTAGCGGTTCCTCTAATAACCAGCTGCTTCTTTTACTTTCACAAACCATATGAAACTTTCAGAGGTAGAATATCAACATCACTTCCTCAATAATTTTCTGTCATGCTCCAGGCCTGCAAACTGAAATCCAATGGAGAATCTGATGATATTTAATAACCTATCAAACCTCTGGGACCAACACGCTATGACCTGCTTATACAGTGAGTTTTAAATTGTTGCAGCTCACTTTATTGTTTTAAGTCTCAAAAGAACTTACAATTTCAGTTCATTCACTCATTTAAAAACATTTAATCAAAACCACTCAGTCAGAGAAAAAAGTCCAGATAAATAACTGGGAGGTGGATTTTTAGACAAAACATTGAAACTTCACTAAACTGCATTTCTCTTTCTGCAATGCTTCAGTTTCATGCTTATTGCCATCCATCCTGTGACTGTGATTTAGGGCTGTAAATCCCTTCAATGATTAGAATACCACAATTATTAAAATCCTCAGAGGAAAATGTTCTGCCTTGAAGCTTCTTTAAATTATATTTGATTATTTAGAGCACCGTGCTGCTGCCAGATAATCATTTATGTTGCACAGCGATCTCACTTCCACCTGCTAAGCACTAAGTGTCGGCAGCATAATGTCCAATTTTCAGGTTCAGTCTGGGAGGATTTTACTGATTGATGATAATGTCCAGGTTTTAATCGTTTATCAGGGGAGATTCATATAAAAAAAAAGAAATCCCTTCTCACCCTCCGCGGGTGGTCTCTCTCTCTCTCTTTCTCTTTCAT